AAAACATCATTCCCTGGAAAACCTGTCCCCAAAGAATCCTACCTTGTCATATCTCAGCACTTCACCTTCTTGTGAAACCCAGGCCCTCTTTGGCTCCTTCATGGCAGCATCACCTCTACCCGAGACGCAGACCAGACCTGTCTAGCATCCAACCACTCTGACCTCCAGCCCAGCCACCCTGACCTCTCACTGCTGTCCCTCGTGCCCTGCCAGCTTCTCTCCACTCAGCAGACAGGGATTATTTTTAAAGGTAAGCCAGAGCATGGCACTCGTCTTCAATGCTCTCCCCTCTCCCCTAAGGAAAATCCCAAGTCCATAACCTGGCATGGCCCTCCCTGGCCTCTGTGCCCGTACCTCCAAGCACCCCCCACCTCCTGCCCTCACTTGAGCCACACTGGCACCCCTCCTCTTGTGCATGTCCACATAGCAAGCCCCTGGGTCAGGACCCTGGCACTGGTGAGCCCCTCTGCCCGGGACCCTCCTCCCCAGGTATGTGCAGGTGTCACGTCCCCTCTCCTTAGGCTCCTGCCTCCTCTCACTGAGACAGCAGGGAGTCCCTGTCCCTCCCTCTCCAGCTCTTGCTCTGTTTATTCTCCACAGCATGGGTCACTCTCTGCCAGGGAGATGGAGAGGAGCCACCTCCACAGCAGCACAGAGAAACTGAGGCTCTGAGGAACAGGAGGGATGGGGAGAGGTGACACGCCTGAGCCTATCTGCCACCTTCTTTCTTCCTGCATCACACTGACTGCCCACCATGTGCCAGGCCCAGTCCTAAAGGCTCTGGAATGTTGGAGGAAGGCAAACAGTGAACAAGTTAACAGAGAAACAGGACAAATGGAGCTGTAGGGTGGGGGAGGGGTGACAGGCACCAAGTACCTGTAAGAGGCCACTTCACTTAGGTGCTTGGGCAGGGCCTGCACAAGGGAGGGAGCCAGGTGTGTGAGGAACTGAGGTGGAGGATACAGCAGAGGGAACAGCAAGCAGACAGGCTGGAGGCGGAGGAGGCTGGAGCAAGCACAGAAGCAGAAAGGGAAGCTGGAGGAGATGGAGCCAGAAGGGCAGGCAGGGGCCTGCGGGCAGGGAGGACAGCCCACGCACCCGGAGACAGACCAGGAAGAGCTGTAGCATGTCTGCCAGGGCAGGAGTCACATTAAGACACAGAATTATAAAACGCCGGGCTATTAGCACAGGCCGGCCCCAGCTCTGACTCTAACTCCATTCACAGACTCCAGCAGTGGAAGCTCAACATTAGGTTCTTACCAGAGAAGTCAAATCCTGCGCCCTCTTCTATAATAAACTCCGCCCTTGAGTAATGTTGTCCAATCTCATGTCTGTAAATTACACCTAAAACGTGCCCTCCAGCTCTGCTTTCCTCCTGAGCTCTAGACTCATTTACATGACTGCTGGCAGACCCCCACCAGAATCTAACGGGTTCTCGACCACAGAACTCTCAAGCTCCCCACTTCTCACGTAGCTGCTGCTCTCCACTCGTTCAGCTGTGGCACCCGCCCCGCAGTCTGTGTGGCTCCTGCCACACGTGGCACAGACTACCAGTTTCTGACCGTGACCGTAAGACCGACCCTCCACGTCTGTCCTCTAGACAGCACTCTGCTCAGCCCCAGCCCTCTCCAGGCACAAGGGCCAGCCTCCAGCTTCCTCAAATGCCCTGAGCTTCGCACTTGCTATTTCTCCTGTTTGGAAAGTTCTTACTCAACCGTGCTCCATCCCACCTTTCAGGTAGCTGCTCAGATGCCACCTCCTCACACAGCCATTCCCTGACCACCATCTCACCTGGTCACTTCATTTTTCTGTGGTCATTCCTTGTCCCAATCCACAGTTTTAATTTCTGTACTGCACTTACTGGCATCGGAGGGTGTCATTTGTTTTTGTTGATGTCTGTTTCTCCCCACCAAACTACAAGCTCCACGAGGGCAAGGACCTCACCTGCCTTACTACTTCTGTGTCCCCAACACCTGGAACAGGGTGAGCCACACAGCAGGAGCTCAAGGAACATCTGTTGAATAAATAAAGGAATGGCATCCTGGCCTTTACTATTGGCCAAGTGACACAGAATCATTTTTTTGGACATCAGGCTAATCTTCAACCATTGCTGCCACCTTCCAACACCAACCTGGGTATCTGCAGCGACTGCATGAGGTGCCCTGTGAAATACTCACTGACCGAATGACTCTGCAGAATCTTGTACAGTGACCGCTAGGCCTGGCACCAGCAAATCTTTATCTACCAGTGTTGTTGTTATCCATAAGGTCCACAGACAAACAAGGTGAATAAGCGTAACTGTTAGGATCAACAGAAGCTCTAAGATATGATACTGCTTAATGGAAGTAGAGAAAGAGCAATCATTATGAGCAGAGTGAAAGGTAACGCAGACATGCTGAGCTGGCATGTTATACTGACAGAGGACAATATGGCTCTCTATAAAATGACCCATGGCAATCATAAGGCATTTGACAACACTGACCAAATCAGAGCTGAACTGAGAACCTGCTGGGACCAGAAGCTTGAGCAGACCCAGCAGATGGGCTGGCTTTACTTACAGACTTTCGACAGGCTCGGGAGGCAAACATCTGCCTAACTCGGGAAGGCCGGCACATGACCCCAGGGCTGTCACTTAGCATAAATATCAGTTCGTCTATATCCTGGGGTCCAAAGGTCCAGTTTTTACTAGTTGGCAAGGAAATCAATTTAGCCCTTTCAGTGACAGGAGCTAAAAGAATAAAATTTTGAGAAAAATCCACTGTTTGAGAAATGCTTGAGCGCTACTTGCGATAAACATTTGAAAGAGAAGGCAGACACAAAATGCTTTTGGGGGGAACTTTTTTCATCTCTTATAAAGAGCTTGATCTGTATGACCTCAAAGATTGTTCTCAGCTCTTAAAAAGACACAATTCTATAGTCCTAATTAATAACTTACCGCCTTCATCGATAATAAAATCAAAGCCATTCTTTCTGAATATTTCTAGATTTTCTATCAGAATAGCTTCACTGACAGCAGTTAAGTTCAGATTCTGAGGTCTGAAAAACAGAGAGGAGATTCAAGTCATATCTCGAAGTCAAACATTTAGCTATAAAGCAGAAATGAAACTAAAACATAATGATACTTTGAATTCATTTCAAAAAGCAACATAAAGGGGCCGGCCCGGTGGCGCCGAGGGTTCGGATCACATGTGGTGACCGGTTCCCGCTCACTGGCTGAGCGTGGCGTGGGCGCAACACCGAGGGTTGCAATCCCGTTGCCGGTCCCCGGTACGGGCGTGACACTGAGGGTTGCGATCCCGTTACCGGCCAGTAAAAAAGACAAAACGAAAAAAAAAAAAAAAGTCAACATAAAAATGAACATAATGATACTTTGAATTCATTTCAAAAAGCAACATGAACAACACCAATATTTAGCTATGTGGCTTTTCATTATTTATCTATGTTCACAGAACTTCCTAAAGCGTTTCTTTTTAATTTTCTCTTTCTTAAAGTTCTTTTTAGAAGTTAAAGTAGCTATAAAAGTAGTTTGCTTTTTCCTCAACCTTCCATTCCACCCCAATGACCTGGTCTTTTTTTGGATCCTGACCTTAAGGATAACAATATAACAAAAATGCTATTTTTCCTCCTCACAATAAAGATCACTTGAAAAGCTGGGTAAGGTCATTACCAGCACTTGAAAACAATGAATAGATGGCATGTATTTTGCTATCCTGCCCTTCCTCTGCCCGCA